TTTATTTATCCAGGTAGTCTCATTGAGCCACGTGAACTCATTTTCAAGAGAGACCTGTTTAGGAGAAGATGGTGGGGGTTAAGGGCCTTGCTCAGGGACCCAGAGTGCGGCGAATGAGGGTGGAGGCAGGTGTGGGTGTTTCACCTTTTCCAACCACATTTTGATGTTGATGGTACCGGGAGGTGAACCTGTGACATTCTGATCACAAGCCCATCTTCTAACCTCTGCACCACCACTCCCCCATATATGCCATATATGCTAATATGCTGCTATTGTGGGAATCAGTTTTGTTTGGTGGCTCCTAAGATTGAAGAAGTCCTTTGGATGAAGGACGAAATGTCTCAGCTTACAAAAGAAACCATCCAGATGACCTGACCGAACATTGTTGGGTTCATCTAACAAAGTTAAGTCAGGTCTTCAGGATGGTTTCTTCTTGTTGAAACATTTCCTCCATTCAGTGGCAGTCCCCAATAAAACTCAAACCTGAAGTACTCTCAGTGATTTGTAATAATGTTTTGACAACATTAACTACAGAAGGAGGAACATGGATTTTACTGGAACTGTTTAATCTTTAGGAGTTTATGATTAACTCTTAAAAGGTGATGCAAGCATAAAAAAAACCCCTCAACGTTAGAAGAGTTCTTTAAACACTTGAAGAGCCTTTAAAACAGTTTAATTAGAAATTCATTGTATTAAAATGTAGCTTTAACTTGTGTACTTGTATATATTTGTGTATGTAAATGCATAAATAGCTGAGAATGATGGCACGACTGAATATAGCACATTGTATAAAACCTCAAGAACGTTTAAAAATGTTGGAGAAAAAAATGGAGACGTCCTTTTTATCATCCTCACTGTTAACGTTTGTGTACGATAACTCTCAGGTGTCGGAAAGTTTGAGTCTGAGCCAAACGAATGCAAACAGTCGAGCGAGTCGAGTTTCAAACATTCAGCAGCTCTGGTGCTGAAGCTAGCTGGTGGAGAGTCTGTGCTGTGATGAACTGTGACACCGCTTCAAATGAATCAACCGCTAAAAGAAGCAGAGGAAGCACAAACGGTACTTAATGTGATAAAGTCGTTTTTGTCGGTGATATTATCCGTTAAACGCATTACCCTCGGTAATCCACGGTAAGAAGGAAGGACAGGGGACGGACACATTCCCAGGAGATGAATGAGGCCAGCAGACAAACATGTCAAATGCTCCTTTACAGAAGTTTCCTGAAGGAAAGGACAGAAACGTTGGAGAACTTGACATGGCAGCTAAAATTAAAAATAGCTGGCATGTGAACAGCGCTCACCATTTCTTTGAAAAACTATCTCTGTCAGGGTTCGGTTGCAGTTCTCCCAGTACTCAGTCCGCTTGGAGATGAGACTCTCGAGCAGTGAGCCTGTTGCCTTTGGGTTCACAGAAAAAGAAAACTGACGCATTTTATACAAGTTTAATGACAAACTTTATCATAAACTTTTCAAATGTTTAATTTTTCTCCTTAGTGCACAAAGTATGAAAACAGCCCTGGTCAAATGAGCTTTTAAAGGTCATTCTGAAGGGTTTCTGTGCAAAAGCTATAAATATTATTTGTGAATATCTTAAACGTATTGGGAGAACAGAGTTTATGTCTGACAGGACTGATAATGGCAAAGATCGAAGTAGAATGTAGACGTTCCACCAATCTGTGAATATTTATGTGATCCTTTACACGATGAGCATCTTTGCACACTGGAGGAGTGAGACGTATCACTTCCAGGACTTTTAGGGTCATTTGGACTCATTAAAAACATTTTTCCAAACTTAGACCAATAAAATAATTATTTATATCTTTTACACACACGCACAAACACCTCAAATTATTGAACAATCAGCAAATCTGCGTGACATTACAAACTGACAAAGCTCAATACTCACAACAAAAATACTTCAAAACAACTGGAACCATCTCTTTAAGATGTTGAACCATGGCTTCCCTCTGAAGAGACAAGAAATAAATCCATGGATGGATGATGGATGGATGATGGATGAATGATGGATGGATGGCTTTCAGATTTATTTCTTGTCTCTTCAGATGCAAAGCTCAGTTACCTCCTTCTGACGGTCTCCTGAGCAAAGCTCCGCCTCTCTGAGCTCTCTTCCACCTACTCCCTACTCCCACTACGGAGCAGAAGATTGTCTGTAAACGTCACAGTTTTAATTTTGTCTCGATGAAGTAAAATTTGAATCAATAAACAGCATTTCTTTGTTGCAAGAGTAATAACATGTTACTTTAAAGTTGAATAGAGGTCAGACAAAACCACAAGTTAGTTGTCGCCCCCCCCCCCTCGGACACACATTAGTATAACATGTGTAAATGATTGTTTCTGTGTTTGTTGGTTTCTCAAAGCTAAAGCTGCAGTTCTTGTCCTCTCAGCTGATCCAGTAAAGATTCTTTTTAGATAAATATTTATATTTGGAGTGACTGGGAGCAGAAGCAGGATGGACTGCAGTGTCCATGTTCACCCACCTGGTGGCAGTGTTTGATCAAGAACATTAAATGAACATCCATCCAGCCATGCACCATCCATCCATCATCCATCTATCATCCGTCCAGCTATCCATTATCCATCATCCATCCATCCATTCATTCATCATCCATCCATCCATCTGTCCATCCGTCTGTCCGTCCGTACATCTATCCATCCATTAATCCCTCCATCCATCATCCATCAATTCATCCATCCATCCCTCCATCCATCCATCTATCCATCTGTCCATCCATCCATCCATCCATCCATCCATCCATCCATCCATCCATCCATCCATCATCATACATCATCCATCCATCTATCCATTATCCATCATCCATCCATCATTCATCATCCCTCCATCCATCC